CCCTTTTGGTCTGAGGATTCAGTAGAGGTAAAATGTCTCTCCAGTGGCTGGCTGCACTGCTTCAATGATCTGTTAGCTTTTACCCCCTAATATCTGACTCCAGGTTTTTATTAAGAGCAATTAGAATTTGTTTTATACTTAGGCCTATTATGGTTTCTGTTATATTATTTGTCATTTTTATAAGTACTGGTATGGTTCGATTATCTGGGGTCTCCTCTGTTTTGTACTATTTTCTTTCTGCAGACTAGAGAGCTAAGTCCACAGGCCAGAATCACACAGTATAAAAAGATTTTGGATGTCTTTAGACCTGTTAAGTAGACAATGCAGGTAATCCTCACATTGAACATTGCAGAGTTCTCTTCTTTAAAAGTAGATTTATTGGTAGAAGTAACAAAAGTAAATGAGATTTATGTCCACTGACCAACTTCCACAAGTCATACTCTGACCTCCGTGAATGCATGGCATGTGCTTTTCCACACACAAACACAAGATAAATAAATACTATTATTTTAAAAAAAAAGTATTGGAGAAGAGTAAATTGCCAAGAAAGTTTTTATTTGAATAAAAATATAGCTGAGCTGGGGCAGTGGTGGCACACACCTTTAATCCCAGCACTCAGGAGGCAGAGGCAGGTGGATTTCTGTGACTTCTTGGCCAGCCTGGTCTATATGAGCTAGTTCCAAGACAGCCAGAACTATTTTGTAGAGAAACCCTATCTCAAAAAAAAAAAAGAATATACATAAAGAGATGGTACCAACATATTCTACTTATTCCAAAAGAAAAAAAGAGAAACATTTATAGCCATAAACTCCTCTATGATAGAATGTGTAATCTTCATTTTCAAATAACTTTTACAGAATTGGGTAATCAGTGGTTCATAAACAGACACTGACTTGTTAGTTCTAGAGAGACATCAAGTTAGAGTGGGCAATCACTTCAAAAGCTTTCATTCCTTTGATACTTTCGCGCTCTTATTCCAAAGTGCTATATCTTCAATCCAGTCACCCCGAAGGCACTTATGAACAACTACTCTGTAACTTCTGATCTTGAGGAGTTGTCACACAGCAATGTAGAACTAGGGAAGATATTTTGAAGAGCATTTTTGCATCACTGGCATTTGCCTTCTCTCTAGCCTTTCTGAGTATTCTTGGCTGCTACTAGTAATTTATAGGAGTCAGAGGAAACAGAGCGACATCCCCCTCTGTGATGTGAATATTCCTTTCTTTTCTTTTTGGAGACAATTTGTGTGTGTGTGTGTGTGTGTGTGTGTGTGTGTGTGTGTGTACATATGTGCACATATGTATGCAAGTATATTTGCCTGTGCACATGCATAGAAGCCAGGAGAGAGCCACGTTTTTCCTCTTCTGTCATTCTCTGCCAGTTGTTTTGAAGCAGGGTGTCTCCATGGACTTGGGAATTGTGTTATCTTAGGCTGGAATTCAGCAAAAACCAGTAACCCCTTCCTTTCCACCCACGTTAGAACTGAAGATATAGGGGTACTCAGATGTTATGTGTGTGCTGGGATCTGAACTTTTGTTCTCAAAATTGCATGCTAAACACTCTTAGACAGTGAGCCACCTCTAGCCCTTTCTGTTCTTCTTGGGTGCTAATAGTAAATTATAGGAGTCAGAAAAAATGGCGGCATCCTCCTCTGTGATGTGAGACTAATTTGATAAGACACTTAAAGAAATTTCCAGATATCCATATTAGGCTTGAAAGAAAATTAGACTAAAGCTCAACTTTTCCACCACTTAGTGATAATTCTACAGATATATTTAGCATAGCGTGCTTTGTTAATGTGAACCATTAATCTGGATAGCTGGGAAGCAAAAGATCACCTAAAATTTGTCTTTGAATGAAAACTTTTGCAATCTTGCTTACATAAATGATTGTGCTGATATAGGCACATGGTTATAGGTAATAAGATCAGACTAAATTATTAGTTGCATAGATCTATCTCTGGTTGTAACTCTAAGCAAATTCCTACATATATTTAGTTGCTATTGAGAATTGGCTGCCACGCACCTGTAACCCAGTACTTACAAGACAAAAGCAGACAAATCTCTATCAGCTCCAAACAAGCCAGGGCAATGTAACGAGACTCTGTCTCAAAAACATTATTAAAAAGATCCCTCATCTCTTAAACCCCATCTCTGACCTAAAGGAGTGACTAGCTAGAAGATAGAAGTATAGCCAAGAGCTATAATTCAAGACAATCAGTAGTAAATATTGAGTTCTTGATTCCTACGCTTTTCTAACCTGATGATCTTCCAATTCATTATCTGGAAGAAAATCATAGCCTTTCTTAAGGACACATTGAAATGATCTTTTCCAGCAAAAGTTTCTCTGGCAACTCATCTCCGTCCTTCCCAGCTCCAGATACGTATACCTAAACCCATTCCTGTAGCATTAACTATTCTCCTGGAGTCCATAGCACTCTACTCATTGTAATGCTTAATACAATAATTGATATTTGGTTCTTTGTGTATCTGTGCCTCCCACTGTACTGCAAGCTCTTCCAGTAACCAGGTTTTGTTCATCTCTGTATCCTAGTCGCTAGCTCAGAACCTGCTGTATAGCAAGACTCACCAAAAACTGGATTTGAGGAGGAGGGTTCTAAGAATAAGCAAACATATAAAAATCACATACAAGATAAAATGTAATGAGAACACATAGGAAGGAATAATTCATTCCAGTGAAGCGGCTTCACAGGAAAGGTTGCGATATTTAAGATAACCCATGGAAAATGAGTAGGATTTGACAAGGTGGGGCTTAGGTGCTCCGAGAAGTGAGGAAGATGAGAAGAACATTTAAAACACACATGGGAATTTAGGAATGACAGTCATTGTGGCAAAATAATGCTACTAGTTCCACAGGGTCCTTATCTGTCCTTATAAACAAGTTTTTCCGGGAACTGTGCTCTCGAACATCTTAACAGGCTCTTTGATTAGTAGACATTTTGAAAAGAAGACTACTGTATTGTCCTTTAAAACTGACAGTTTAGATCATTATCCTTCTCTCCCTGGCCCCCAGATTTGTTCAGTTTAGGGAGGTTGGTATGTTGTAAGTTCCATTATTGGATTTCACGTCCCATGTTGAGAAGCGTTCCCGAGTTGTTAGTTTTTCTTTTTCACAGGAAGACATAGCCATGCTGGGGATAAATAAAAGAGGCAAAAGAAAAGCATTTTTGACACTGGGACCTAGCTCCTGGGGAACTGCCTGTATTCCCTGGGAGCCATTCTGCAGTCTCAAATCAGAGATCCCCTAAACACTTGCTGCCTGGAAATTGGAAATCCAGCTGGACCTAATTATTGCTTCTGTAAACTCTGGACTCAAAGGATGTTCGATGATATATGTTTGTTTTCTTACTAATATTTCCAGAGGAGCTATGTTTAGCCTTAAGTTATGTCTTCATAAGAGAGCACTGAACATGGGTGTGAGGACTAGATAGAGTTCCTGCAGGCAGGGCAGTCAGCAGCTCAGGCTGTAATGTGGGATACTTATGGTCCTCTTCTTCTCTCTCCCCCTTCCCCCCCGCCTCTGTATGTGTGTGGGTGTTGTTGGAGGGAAGGCAAATTCAACACAGAAGAATGACAAAAACTGGAATCTCAAAACTAATGTCTTTGGACGTTTACTTGTTCTCACCAGGACTAAAATAGCACAAATATAAATAACGCAGCCAAGGACCATCCTGATGTTGCCAGCTTAGACGGACATGATGGACATTAATAAGCTACACTTAGAACAGAGTTGCCTTCAGGGGTCTGAGTGGCAGATGTTCATATTGGGCTGTAGTAGAAAGGCTGTGTGTTTTTCTTTTACCTGGAGGCTATCAGCTATCAGGGGGAAAATTCCCAAATTAAAACCCTTTTGTACTCAGATAACTTATTGACTATATCTTACCCAACTCAGTTATCGCATGCCCTTGTATATATAACCCACTTCAGTGTCTTTTCTGGGGTGTCCTTTCCTTTTCTTTACTAGTTAATAGCGAGCTATCATTCAAAATTTACTCCATACAATTCTGTACTACTCTTTTAACATCCATTCTCTATAATTTCTACCTACTCAGACCACAGAACCTCTTTATTCCTTAATCTTGATTAATCTAGTCTATACCACTCAAGTATTTCCTTGGCTCTTAATTGTTTCATTAGGGATAAGTAGACCATAGTGACTAAAATGTATGTATTTTGTACAACCTTGGGTAAAAGAGATAATCTTTAGAAACTTCTCATTTGTTACATGCAGATACAAATCCTCCCCACCTCATAGCTTCGTCCCAAAAGTTCAATGACAATGCCACATGCCAGCTGCTTTAGTTGACATATGGTAAGCACGCAATAATGAGTAGTAGTGGAAGGCTGAGGTGGTGCTAGTCCTAACAGTCATTATCATTATCATCGTCATCTGTCTCCAACTAGACTTGCAGTCTTCGTGGATAGGAGCCACGTGGACTGTCTGTGTTTTCATTGGTTCTCCCCTAACCCCCAGAATATTCTATTAGCTGATGATATATATGCTCAGCTCTTTCGATTGTACTACTGCAAGGACCTAAAATCTCATCAGGAATGTAATTTTCATATTTTATTGCCAACTACAGAAGCCCTTGGATGATTTTATTTTCTTGGTTTGTATTTCTGAGGAGTTTGAATAGAATCTGCTGAAGTAATATGCTAGTAGACAAAGGATAAGAAAATTCTTAATTATTCCAATCTCCTTTGATGTATACACTTGTGATTGGGAGAGACGGGGGAAAGGGTAGAAAGGAAATACACTAAAATGCCATCTGGTAAATTGTTTTCAAATTTCATGACTTCCTGCTACTTCAAGCTGTATTATTTCAATCCTTGTAAGAAAAGTAGCATTGCATTGAGGCCTTATCCACCACTTGTCCATTCACCATTTTTGTAAAGTGTTTGCCACAGTTTTCTCTGATAGCTAAACTAGATACTGGAACCTCAACACAACAAATTATTTGCCTTGTCATTTCATTTCAGCTGATAATACTAGAACTCTGAATGTAGATTCTGGTGCAATGACGCTGCCTGTGTCTGATCCAACTGCATGGGCCACAGCAATGAATAATCTTGGAATGGCGCCACTGGGAATTGCTGGACAACCAATTTTACCTGGTATGTTATTTTTAATTACAAGTACTTCTTTTTATTGAACATGTGGTAGTAAATATAATGGCTCGACACATCTTATTTTGAAGTTGACATTTTCTAGATTCTGCCCTGAGCAATTTTGTACTATGAGCTTTATAGGCTAGACGGCCAGTATGATGGCACTTTGTGTATATCTAGGGGTATATCTGATGCATGTTAGGGTTATTGAACTTGTAATGAAATAAAAGGCAACAGAATTTTGGCAAGTATTAACAAAACTTGTCTAATTTTATAGACTTCTTACAGAAAACAAACATAGGCATAGAACAAGAACTTACTGAAACAGATCTTAAATCCTAGATTCCTAAAGGGAAGAACAGAAAGTGATAGGTACATTGGCTCCAAAATAATTTTGACAATAAATAACACTTTTTATACATATGTATACAAAAATGCATACATGTGTACAACAGTGGCCATGATGGACTAACTATATCTCCACTATGTGTGAAGACAAGGACCAGTAAAATAGCTCAGAAGGTGAATATGACTTTGTCCCAAAGTGTGATAGCTTGACATTGATTCCCAGAACCCACATGGTGGAAGGAGAGAATCAACGCTTGCAAGTTGTCCTCGTCACTTCCATATGCATGCCACATGCACACAAAACAGTAAACAAATGCTTTTTAAATGTTTATTATAAAAAAATAAAATCAGAAGAAAAACATCACAATATATAAAGGGGTTCATGTAGACACAAAAGTGACTTCCTGGCTAGTAAGAGCTAATTAATGCCATTTCAGGGAGCCTGGGGTGGCTTTTGAAACAGCATAAACATTAATCTCCTTAGATTTATTTAATTGTGGCCCTACATAAATGCACAACAAGACCTAATCAAGCTAGATGCTTGCTGCTCAAATGTGTTTTTGTATAGTCCTAGGATAGTTTTGATTCCTAAAATATGAGGTCCCATCCCAGACCTACTGAAGCAGAAACTGCAGTTTTACACGATGCCCAGACAATTCATAGGCATGAGCATAACCATGATGATACCCTTTGCCTGATAATTAGTTCCTCCTTCAATTTCACAATTCCAGCCTGAATTTTCAATCTTTATGGATTAAAATGGAATTGATGACAATATTAGAAATAAATTAACAGGTACTATTATGCTAACCACTGGAAAACAAATACAAAAGAGGTCAGTCAGGGAAAAACAAGATGTCTGAATAAGAAATTGATACCAAACCAGAAACTTCATTAATATTTGATAACTTTAATAGTTCCAGGAGATTGTATTTATGCTACAAGGAAAGAAAAATATTCAACAATCTTGCCCCATTGTGAACCCTGAAAACCACAGTAACCAATGACCTGGCAAGATGTGCGCACTGTTGCAATATTTATGTTATAAGGGTAACCGATGGATTCCAAACCTATTCTACAATACTGAACTCATGACTTGTACTGTTGTCTGGCTAAGTCATAGGCCCTAAATGCGAACATAATACTGTATTAGTCTGTTTAATGGGCATAGTATTAAACTACCCTGTGTTCTTACCTTCAGATTCAAAAGTTTGTGTGTACGTTATCCCTCATCAGAGAAGAATTTTGTTTTTCTTTTTGTTTTTGTTTCTCAGTTTTTTGAGATAGGGATTCTCTGTGTGTTGCTCTGGCTGTCTGGAACTAACTCTGTAGACTCACAGAGATCATCCTGCCTCTGCATCCTGAGTTTTGGGATTAAAACCATGTGCCACCATTGCCTGGAAAATCTTTTTTTTTTAATTAGATAGCCATTAATAAAGAGACCCACGACCGTTCAGTGTACAGAGGGTGAGGGATCATGTAGTGCTCATCTCTAAATGGGATATATATATATATATATATATATATATATATAATAACTGCCCAAGGCTCAGGGATCATTGCAGGGGCAGGAAGATTCAAAGGTAGTGGATAGCCACATGCTTACTAGAAATGACAGAAGAATAGCACACATGAATACACTGAAGTGCTGACTTGTACAAGCTCAGGTAAGACAAAATTCCAACATGAATTGGATTGAGCGATATGTACTGGATTTGGACTGAGAGATTTGTACTGGATTGGACTGATATGTGTACTGGATTGGACTGAGAGGTGTGTACTGTACTGGACTGAGATATATACTGGAATGGACTGAGAGATTTGTTCTGGATTGGACTGACAGATGTGTACTGGATTGGACTGAGATGTGTCCTGGATTTGACCCCAGAGATGTGTACTAGATTGGACCAAGAGATGTGTACTGGTTTATACTGACTGATGTGTACTCATTTGGACCTAGATGTGTACTAGATTGGAATGAGAGATGTGTACTGGATTGAAATGAGATGTGTACTGGATTGAAATGAGATGTGTACTGGATTGAAATGAGACGTGTACTGGATTGGAATGAGATTTGTACTGGATTTGACTGAGATGTGTACTGGATTGAAATGAGATGTGTACTGGATTGGACTGAGATGTGTACTGTATTGAAATGAGATGTGTACTGGATTGGACTGAGATGTGTACTGGATTGGACTGAGATGTGTACTGGATTGGACTGAGATGTGTACTGGATTGGACTGAGATGTGTACTGGATTGGAATGAGATGTGTACTGGATTGGACTGAGATGTGTACTGGATTGGACTGAGATGTGTACTGGATTGGAATGAGATTCGTACTGGATTGGACTGAGATGTGTACTGGATTGGAATGAGATGTGTACTGGATTTGACTGAGATGTGCACTGGACTGGAATGAGATGTGTACTGGATTGAACTGGGAGGTGTGTACTGGATTGAACTAAGAGATGTATACTGGATTGGAATGAGATATGTACTGGAATGGATTGAGATGTGTTCTGGATTGGACTGACAGATGTGTACTGGATTAGATTGAGAGATGTGTACTGGATTGGACTGAGATGTGTCCTGGATTTGACCTGAGAGATGTGTACTGCATTGGACGAGAGATGTGTACTGGTTTACACTGACTGATGCTTTCTGAATTTCACCAAGATGTGTACTGGATTGGACTGAGTAGTGTACTAGATTGGACTGAGAGTTGTGTATTGGATTTTGCTGAGAGATGTGTACTGGTTTGGGCTGAGATTGGTACTGGATTGGACTGAGAGATGTCTACTGGATTGGAATGAGATCTGTAGTGGATTAGAATGAGAGATGTTTATTGGATTGGACTGAGAGGTGTGTACTGGATTGGACTGAGTGATGTGTACGTGATTGGACTGAGAGATGTGTACTGAATTAGACTGAGAGTTGTGTACTAGCTTGGAATGAGATGTGTACTGGATTCGTCTGAAATATGTACTAGATTGGATGGAAATGTGTACTAGATTGAAATGATACGTGTACTGGGTTGGACTGAGACCTGTGTACTGTATTAGTCGGAGAGATGTGGACTTGATTGGACTGGGAGGTGTGTACTGGATTGGAACGAGGTATGTACTGGAATGGACTGAGATGTGTACTGTATTGGACTGAGTTGTGTACTGGATTAGACTGAAAGAAATGTAATGGATTGGAATGAGACGTATGTTGGATTGGACTCAGAGATGTTTACTGGATTGAACCGAGATTTGTACGGGATTGGACTGAGGGATTTGTACTAGATTGGACTGAGAGATGTATACTCAATTGGACTGAGATGTGTAATGGATTGGACTAAGATGTGTACTGGAATGGCCTGAGATGCATACTTATTGGACTGAGAGTTGTGTACTGGATTGGACTGAGAGATATGTACTGCATTGTACTGAATGATGTGTACTGGATTGGTCTGAAATGTGTACTGTATTGGACTCATAGATGTGTACTGGACTCATCTGAGATGTGTACTTGATTGGACTAAGATATGGACTGGATTGGATTGAGAAATGTACTGGATTGGACTGAGATGGACTGGGTTGGACTGAGATGGGTACTGGACTCATCTGAGATGTGTTCTGGATTGGACTGAGATATGTACTGGATTAGAATGAAAGATGTGTCCTAGATTGGACTGCCAAGTGTAGTGGATTGGACTATGTTATGTACTGGATTGTATTGACAAATGTCTAAGTGATTAGCAGAGCACACCACTGGATACATCTTTGATGGTTTTCACAGAGATGATTGACATGCAGGAGAGCTACTGAGGAGGTAATACCCATAATTAACATGGGCAGCCAATAAGCTGGAGGCCATTTGAAATAAAAGCAGACAAATCAAAATTCAGCCAGCAGTTGCAAATTCACTTTTCTGAGTGAGCCTACCTCATACTGTTGTCCAAACACATTGGAATACTACCACTTTAGCATCTTAATATGGGTTTTTACTACTTACTCTCTAGGAATCTTCTGGCCTCTTCAGTCTTCAGCCGGGACCACATCATTGATCCTCCCTCTTTTTCTGCAGCTCAGTTTCTTTCATAGAATAGTTACTAGTTAACATATGTAATTTTTTCCCAAGCCTCTAGAAAGTGGACCAGTGAGAGGGGAAAGTGATAGAAAATGTGGTAAAATCACTGTCTTTAATTGCATGTATGGAAATGTTATAATGATCAAAGTGTTATAATGAAAACCCCTATATTTTTGCAACTATTTATACACTAAATAAAATGACTCTTATGGAACTGTTCTCTAAAGTACCCTTATTAATGGTTTAGTAATTCAGCTACCTTTCTTCCACATAGGCATTTTCCTGCTGAGCCAGAATTCTGTGGTTTAGCCTGTCTCATCTGGCCTTTCTATGGTAATAGAATACACTTCGTCATAGATAAAAATCAGATGATACATAAGCTTTCTTGACATCCTCCTGAGAGTTCAAATCTCTACTGTCATGGATGTTGATGGATACATACTTGTCATTGAAGACAATGACTGACATAATTATATTCTTCAAGTGGGGAGCAGAAATAGGCCATCTCAAGTTTGGAGTGGATCTGCCTTCCATCTGCCTTGCTGTTTTGTGCAGCTGCTTTTCAATAAAATTAATTTAC